AAAAACATTTCACAGAAGACAGAAATGATGCACAAACAGCGATAAAAAACAAAAAAAGAGAGAAACAAGGAAATGGCACAATTTATCCAAAAAGAGAATAACCAATGATGTCATCACATGAATACAATGATGTAGTCACATGAAAAACAACACCAAAAGCAAAACCCCATAAACACTATTACAGCCCAACAGAAAGAAAAGGAAGGTGGGCAGGAAGGGAAATCCAGCACAACACAACTGGAAAGAGACAGAGCCACAGAGGAAAAGCAGAAACCACAAAATACTCACCAGCAGCACAAGCGCCCCACATGTGGCTCCCCTGAGCTTTCCCACCTCCACAAGCCACTATACCAAAACCCCGGCCGCCATAACCGGCACCAACCAAAACACAACCACAAAGCCTGGCCAAGGACTTCCCCACCCACAGCCACCCCAGAAAAGCCTCTTCTTCCCCAGGAGCAACACAGACCCCAGCCCAAACTGGAAACCAGAACCGGCAAGCGGCCGCAAGAGGAAAGCGAGGAAGGGGAAGCTGCGGTGGCACCACATAAAGCTGCCACCCGGCACAACCTCCAGCACAGCGCCCACCCGCACCACCGCCGAGTCGACACGCAGCACGCTCCTGCCCAGCGCCCCGCAGGCAGCACCCACAGCCCCACCATGCCTGCGCCCGCAACCCCACAGCCCCGCCTGGGGCGCAGTGCCCCGGCGCTCCTGCTCCTCCTGACGGCTCTCGCCACCGGCCTCGGCTGCCACCACCGGCCTGCCAGCGATGACACCTTCCCCTGGCGCAGCCTCCAGCTCCTCCAGGCCATGGCTCCCAGCCCCACACCGCCCTGCCACCACCAGCAGGCGCCCCTCTTCCCCGACACCCTCCTGCACATCAGCCACCCGCAGCAAGCCGCCGCCAGCGCCCTCCGCATCCTCCAGCACCTCTTCCACACCCTCAGCAGTCCCAGCACCCCCCAGCACTGGCACAACGAGCCACGGCACCAGCTCCTCAACAGCCTCCAGCACCGCATCCAGCACCTCCAGCGCTGCCTGCCGGGCAACGCCACGCTCTTCCCGGGACAAGGGCCCCGCAGCACGCTGCTCACCATCAACAAATACTTCCGACACATCCAGGACTTCCTGCGCACCCACAACCACAGCGCCTGCGCCTGGGACCACGTCCGCCTCGAAGCTCGCCTCTGCTTCCAGCACCTGCACAACCTCACCCGCACCGGCCGCAATTAGCCCAGCCACCCCACGCTCCCGCACCGCCCCGACACCGGCACCACTGGGGCAGCGCCCACGCACACCCACCTCGGGCCTGCAGCACCCTCCGCAACAGCTGCGGCAGGAGCCGCCCCGACCGCGCGCGTCTCCTGCGCCCGCTGCTCCCCGACACAACTGCTCTATTTATTGGCACACGCTGCCACCTATTTATTCACCTATTTATTCACACCAAATAAAGACCTCTTGACAAAACGCCGCCACTGCCTCTGCACCCTGTTCCAGTGTTTCACCACTCTTACCGTAAATAACTATTTCTTTATATCCAATGTGAGCTTTGCCTGTTTAAGGTTAAAGCCTTCTCCTATGGTTACTGTTCCTGATGAAGAGTGCTTCTCCTGCATCCTCATAGGCCACCTTTACATACTGGAATGCTGCTGTGAGTTTTCCACACACCTTTTGTTCCCCAGGATGAACAGCCCAACTTTCTCGGCCTCTGTTCATATGAGAGGTCTTTCTGTTGCCCTGATCATCCTTATTGCCTTCTCTGGACTTGTCTCAACGGCTCTTCATCCTTCTAATACTTAGGACACCAGAACTACACATAGTGCTCCGAGTGTAGTTAAGTCATTTATTTAGGGGTGTATTTTTCTATGGAGGTCCTAAACGCATCCTGGGGCTGAGGGTACCATGTGTCAGATGAGGTTGCTGGTGGCATTGTTAGCCCAAACCCCATTGCAGAGGGAGGGGGCAGCTACAATTGCTCTTGTTGACCTGTGGCAGTGTTTCACCAATCTCCTGGTAGAGAATTTCTTCAGGTGGAAAAGGGGACAAGCCAAGTTGATGACCTACAGGAACACTGTCAGTGTAGGCAGAAATAGAGCGACAAAGGCCAAGGCCCACTTAAAATTGAGTCTTGCGAAAGACATCAAGGCCAACAAAAAGGGCTTATGTGAGTATTTCAGCAGCAAAAACAATACAAGGAACATGTGGGGCCACTGCTAAATCTTACGGATGTCCTGGTAATAGAAGAGACACAGAGAAGGCCGAATTACTGAATGCCTTCTTTGCGTCAGTCTTTGCCACCAAGGATGGCCCTCAGGAGTCCCTGACCTCTGAGCTTAGAGATGAAGGTTGGAGAAAGGAAAACTTCCCCCAGTCTGTAGAGAGCTGGGGTAGGGATAGGCTGGACAGACTCAATACCAATAAGCCCATGGCCCTGTTGGGATGCAGCCAAGAGTGCTGAGGGAGCCAGCAGAAGTGACTGCTCTGCTGCCTCCATCATCCTTGGACAATCCTGGACAATGGGAGAGGTGTCCAAATGACTGGAGGAATGCCAATGTCATCCATCTATAGGAAACAGAAGGAGGACCCAGGCCACCACCAGCCAGTCATCCTCACCTCTATCCCTGGAAAGGTGATGGGACAGGTCATTCTGGAGGTGATCCGCAAGCACGTACAAGAGGTATCTGGAAAGGCTGGATCTATGGGCTCTGGTCAATGGTATGAGATTCAACAGGCAATCTGTCAGGTCCTGCACTTGGGCCACAACAACCCCATGCAACGCTCCAGGCTTCGGGAAGAGTGGCTAGAAAGCTGCTCGCTGGAAAAGGACATGAAGGTGCTGACTGATGGACATGAACTTAAGCAGCTAGTGTCCAGGCAGCCAAGAAGCCAACAGCATCCTGTCCTGTACCCGCAATAGTGTGGCAGCAGGACCAGGGCAGTGATCATCCCCCTGCACTGGGAACCAGTGAGGCTGCACCTCAAATCCTGTGTTCAGTTCTGGGCCCCTCACTACAGGAGAGAAATGGAGGTGCTGGAGCCGGGCTGGAGAAGGGCAACGCAGCTGGTGAAGGCTCTGGAGAACAAGTGTGATGAGGAACGGCTGAGGGACCTGCGCAGGGGCGGAGTCTGGAGAAGAGAAGGCTCAGGACGGACCTTATCGCTCTCTACAACTGCCTGAAAGGAGGTTACAGTGAGGTGGGGGACAATCTCTTCTCCCAAATTAAAAGTGACAGGACAAGAGGAAATAGCCTCAGGCTGTGCCACAGGAGGTTTAGATTGGATATTGGGAACAATTTCTTCACAGAGAGTGTGTGGTCAGACACTGAACACTTCCCAGGGCAGTCATGGAATCCCTGTCCCCGGAAGCATTCAGAAACCATGTAGACAAAGCCGTTAGTGACATGGTTTAGGAGTAGCCTTTGCAGTCCTGGGATGATACTTTGGTTTGACGTTCTATGTCTTTTCCAACCTAGTTCGTTCCATGATGTATTTCTACAAAAGCCTGTCCCCGGCCTTCTGGTAAGCCTCCTGTCAGGCTTGAAAGGTCACTGGAAGGTCTCTCTGGAGCCTTCTCTCACCAACATGAACAGTTCTGTCAGGCTTTCCTCCTTGGAGAGGTGCTTCAAGCCTGTCGTGCTGTTTGTGGCCCTCGTCTACGAGCAGCCCAGCAGGTCTGTGCCTTCCCTGAGTGTGGATCCAGGGCTGATGATCCTAAGTCGCTGCAGAGTGGGGTGGGCACTGCAAAACCTTGAGAAGGCGAGGGCTGAAGAAATGCTTGTGCAGAGGATGGCTAAAGCCCATCAGAGGTTTCCCAAAGATGTGTTTGGAAGAGCGTCACTGGGGAAGTGGCAAAGGGAAGGGTGGGCACGGGCTCTGCAGAGCCCTGTTTGGAGCAGGCCTTGGAGTAGGTGTTGGGCAGACGTGGCTTCCCCCCACTCAAGAAGAGCTTGCTGTGCAGGTGAGACACTTCCTAAGCTCACCTATGAGGGTTTTATTTGAGACAGTGTCAAAAGCCTTGCTGAACTCAAGGTGGATAACATGCACTATTCTCCACTTGTCAACCCATCTTGCCATGTCATCATAAAAGGCTCTTAGTTTGCCCAAGCATGATCTACCCTTGGTGAATCCATGCCGACTACTTCTCAGAATCTTATTTTCTTTAACATCCTTGGTTCTGACCACCAGAATGACCTATTCCATCTCCTATCCAGGCATGGAGATCAGCCTGAACCTCCCCACACTTCCCACAACCTCTTTCTTGTCCTTTCAATAACAGAAGTAACCCTGGCTTCTCTAGTTTATTGGGCACCTCTCCTGTTCTGCATACTCGGCCAATGATGACGGAGCCAGCAGATCTACAAGGTTTCCCAGCTCCCCTAGCACCTTTGGCTGCATCCCTCAGAGCCCATAGGTTTATGGGTGTTGAGTCTGTCCAGCCTATCCATAACACAACTCTCGGAAACCAGGGGCTGAAATCGTACTTTCTCCAGCCTTCATCTCTAATCTCCAAGGTCTGCAACTCCAGAGGGCCATCCTTACTGGTAAAGACTGAGGCAAAAAAGACGTTCCACAATGCTGCGTTTTCTGTGTCTTCTATAATTAGGACACCCAACGCTACAGCATTAGCCCCACATTATACTTACCTTGTTTTTCCTGCTGATATACATGAAGAAGCCCGTCTTCTTTTCCTTATGGAACTTGCCAGGCTCACTTTTAAGTTCACCTTGGCCTTCCTCCTTCTACCTCTGCATACAGTGACAATGCTCCTTTCGTTCTCCCCACTTGGACTGTCCCCTTTTCCACCTCCAGAAATTCTTCACCATGAAGGTTCTCAGACAATGTCACAGGTTACCCAGAGCACTCCTAGCCGCCCCATCCCTCACTAACGGCCTTTGACCACAAAAGGCCTTTCAGCTCACAAGGCCACCAGCAATCACCTCTGACACCTCCTATTCTCAGCACAAGAAGGCACGCAGGACATCCAGAAAAAAAGAGAACGCTGAAAAATCTTTAAAGAACAGATAGAAATGATGCACAAACAGGGATTAAAGCAAAAACAGAGAAACAGAAAAGTGTCACAAGTATCCAAAAAGAGAATAACCAATGATGTCATCACATGAATACAATGACGTAATCACACCATAAAACATACCAAAACCAAAACCACACAACCACTACTACAAACCAACAGAAAGAAAAGGAAGGTGGGCAGGAAGGGAAATCCAGCACAACACAACTGGAAAGAGACAGAGCCACAGAGGAAAAGCAGAAACCACAAAATACTCACCAGCAGCACAAGCGCCCCACATGTGGCTACCCTGAGCTTTCCCACCTCCACAAACCACTATACCAAAACCCCGGCCGCCATAACCGGCACCAACCAAAACACAACCACAAAGCCCGGCCAAGGACTTCCCCACCCACAGCCACCCCAGAAAAGCCTCTTCCCCAGGAGCAGCACAGACCCCAGCCCAAACTGGAAACCAGAACCGGCAAGCGGCCGCAAGAGGAAAGCGAGGAAGGGGAAGCTGCGGTGCCACCACATAAAGCTGCCACCCGGCACAACCTCCAGCACAGCGCCCACCCGCACCACCGCCGAGTCGACACGCAGCACGCTCCTGCCCAGCGCCCCGCAGGCAGCACCCACAGCCCCACCATGCCTGCGCCCGCAACCCCACAGCCCAGCCTGGGGCGCGGCGCCCCGGCGCTCCTGCTCCTCCTGACGGCTCTCGCCACCGGCCTCGCCTGCCACCACCGGCCTGCCAGCGATGACACCTTCCCCTGGCGCAGCCTCCAGCTCCTCCAGGCCATGGCTCCCAGCCCCACACCGCCCTGCCACCACCAGCAGGCGCCCCTCTTCCCCGACACCCTCCTGCACATCAGCCACCCGCAGCAAGCCGCCGCCACCGCCCTCCGCATCCTCCAGCACCTCTTCCACACCCTCAGCAGCCCCAGCACCCCCCAGCACTGGCACAACGAGCCAAGGCACCAGCTCCTCAACAGCCTCCAGCACCGCATCCAGCACCTCCAGCACTGCCTGCCGGACAACGCCACGCTCTTCCCGGGACAAGGGCCCCGCAACACGCTGCTCACCATCAACAAATACTTCCGACACATCCAGGACTTCCTGCGCACCCACAACCACAGCGCCTGCGCCTGGGACCACGTCCGCCTCGAAGCTCGCCTCTGCTTCCAGCACCTGCACAACCTCACCCGCACCGGCCGCAATTAGCCCAGCCACCCCACGCTCCCGCACCGCCCCGACACCGGCACCACTGGGGCAGCGCCCGCGCACACCCACCTCGGGCCTGCAGCACCCTCCGCAACAGCTGCGGCAGGAGCCGCCCCGACCCCGCGCATCTCCTGCGCCCGCTGCTCCCCGACACAACTGCTCTATTTATTGGCACACGCTGCCACCTATTTATTCACCTATTTATTCACACCAAATAAAGACCTCTTGACAAAACGCCGCCACTCCTTCTCTTCTCACAAGTGTACCAAACTCTCCTTGGTCTGGGGGGAAGCTCAAGATGCAGTGCCCTTCACTTGCCCTGTGAAACCTCTGTGGGTTTCTGTCTGCCCAGCTCTCCAGCCTATGCAGATACTACTGAATGCCACCACAGCCTTCAGATGCATCAGCCACTGCTCCCGGCTTCCTATCAGCGGCAAACTTGCAGAGGTGTCACTCTAGCCCTTAACCCAGTGCACTGATTAAAAAGGTGAATTCGACCAGACTCAGTGCTGGACCCTGACAAACACCACTGACTGCAGGCCTCCAACTGTATTCTACTCTGTCGATCACAGTGCTCTCAGCTCTGCCGTTCAGACAGTCACAGTCCATCTCACTGTCCATTCATTTAACCCACACTTCCTGAGCTCACCTACGAGGGTTTTAGTGGAGACATTGTCAAAAGGCTCGCGGGAGTAAAGGCTGATAACATGCACTGCTCTCCCCTCGTCAACCCGTATTGCCAAGTCACTGTAAAAGGCTCTGAGATTGTCCAAGCAAGATCTACCCTTGGTGAATCCATGCTGACTACTCCTCAGAAACTTCTTTCCTTTAACATCCTTGGTTCTGACCACCAGAATGACCTATTCCATCACCTTCCCAGGGATGGAGATCAGAACGACTGGCTAATGATTTCCCCGGTCCTCTTCCCTGTCGGGTGATGGAGTGACACTGCCCTTCCTTCACTCCTTGGACACCTCTCCCGTTCTCCATGCTTATCCAAGGATGAGGAAGGCAGAAGAACAACATCTCCCAGCTCCCTCAGCACCTTTGGTGGCACACCCTCAAGGCCCATGGGTTTATGGGTCTTGAGTCTCTCCAGCCTATCCATAACTCAACTCTCAGCAAGCAGGGGGTGAAATCTTACTTTCTCTGGCCTTCATCTCTAACCTCCGAGGTCACAGACTCCTGAGGGCCATCCTTAGGGATAAAGACTGAGGAAAAGAAGGCATTCAGTCATTCAATCTTTTCATGTCTTCTGTAATCACGACACCCACAGATTCAGCATCGGACCCACATTATGTTTCTTTCCCTGCTGATATACATCACAGTATCACACAGTATATCACAGTGTGTTAGAGATTGGAAGGGACCTCAAAAGATCATCTAGTCCAATCCCCCTGCCGGAGGAAGAACACCTAGATAAGGTTACACAGGAACGTGTCCAGGCGGGTTTTGAATGACTCCAGAAAAGGAGACTCCACAACCTCCCTGGGCAGCCTGTTCCAGTGTTCTGTCACCCTCACTGAGAAGACGTTTTCTTCTCAAGTTTAAGTGGAACCTCTTGTGTTCCAGTTTGTACCCATTGCCCCTTGTCCTATCATTGTTTGCCACTGAGAAGAGCCTGGCTCCATCCTCGTGACACTCCCCCTTTATATATTTATATACACTAATAAGGTCACCCCTCAGTCTCCTCTTCTCCAAACTATAGAGACCCAGCTCCCTCAGTCTTTCCTCATAAGGGAGATGCTCCACTCCCTTAATCATCTTAGTTGCTCTGCGCTGGACTCTCTCCAGCAGGTCCCTGTCCTTGAACTGAGGGGCCCAGAACTGGACACAATATTCCAGATGAGGTCTCACCAGGGCAGAGTAGAGGGGAAGGAGGACCTCTCTCGACCTACTAACCACCCCCCTTCTAATACACCCCAGGATGTCATTGGCCTTCTTGGCCACAAGGGCAGTGTCGGCTCATGGTCACCCCGTCGTCCACTAGGACCCCCAGGTCCCTCTCCCCTACACTGCTCTCTAACAGGTCGTTCCCCAGCCTATACTGGAACCTGGGGTTGTTCCTGCCCAGATGCAGGACTCTACACTTTCCCTTGTTATATTTCATCAAGTTATTCCCCGCCCAACCCTCCAGCCTGTCCAGGTCTCTCTGGATGGCAGCACAGCCTTCTGGCGTGTCAGCCACTCCTCCCAGCTTAGTGTCATCAGCAAACTTGCTGATAGTACACTCAATTCCCTCATCTAAATCATTGATGAATATATTAAATAATACTGGTCCCAGTACCGACCCTTGAGGCACTCCACTACATACAGGCCTCCAACTAGACTCCGCCCCATAGACTACAACTCTCTGGCTTCTCTCCTTCAGCCAGTTCACAGTCCACCTCACTACCCGATCATCCAGACCACACTTCCTCAATTTAGCTGCGAGGATGCTGTGGGAGACTGTGTCAAACGCTTTGCTGAAGTCAAGGTAGACCACATCCAGCGCTCTGCCATCATCCATCCACCGTGTTATTTCCTCATAAAAGGCTACGAGATTGGTCAAGCATGACTTCCCCTTGGTGAAGCCATGTTGACTGCCCCTCATAACCCTCTTATCCTTGATATGCCTTAAGATGGCACCAAGGATAAGGTGTTCCATCACTTTCCCAGGAATGGAGGTGAGGCTAACCGGTCTATAGTTACCCGGGTCCTCCTTCTTGCCCTTTTTGAAGACGGGAGTGACATTTGCTTTCCTCCAGTCCTCAGGCACCTCTCCCGTTTCCCAAGACTTGGTAAAGATGATGGAGAGCTGTCTAGCAATGACCTCAGCCAGTTCCCTCAGCACCCGCGGGTGCATCCCATCTGGACCCATGGATTTATGGATATCCAGATTGCTCAACTGGTCTCTAACCCATTCCTCATCGACTAAGGCAGACCGCTCCGTTGACCTGTCTTCATCCGAGGTCTCAGTGGTACAGGGCTCTTCAGGACTGCCTCCAGCAGAGTAGACAGAGACAAAGAAGGCATTCAGTAACTCTGCCATCTCTGTATCTTCTGTCACCAGGGCACCCGTCCCGTTCATCAGCGGGCCTACATTGCCTCTGGTGTTAGTTTTATCTGCCATGTATTTGAAAAAGCTCTTTCTGCTGCCCTTGAGCCTTCTCGCTAGCTTTCATTCCAAGGAGGCCTTAGTCATCCTAGCTGCTTTCCTACATCCTCTAGCAGCAGCCTTATATTCCTCCCAAAACACATGAAGAAGCCCTTCTTCTTGTCCTTATGTCTTTTGCAAGGCTCAGGTCCAAGTGCACCTTTGCCTTCCTCCTTCTATCTATGCATACAGTGACAATGGTCCTTACTGTTCTCCCAGTTGGATTGTCCTCTTTTCCACCTCCAGTAATTCTTCACCACGAAGGTTCTGAGACAATGTCACAGGTCACCCAGAGCACTCCTAGCCCCCCATCCCTCACTAACGGCCTTTGACCACAAAAGGCCTTTCAGCTCACAAGGCCACCTGCAACCACCTCTGATACCAATCCTCAGCACAAGAAGGCACACGGGATGTGCAGAAAAAAAGAGATCACTGCAAAAAAACATTTCACAGAAGTCAGAAATGATGCACAAACAGCGATAAAAAACAAAATCAGAGAGAAAAAGAAAACGGCACAATTTATCCAAAAAGAGAATAACCAAAGATGTCATCACACGAATACAATGATGTAGTCACACGAAAAACAACACCAAAAGCAAAACCCCATAAACACTATTACAGCCCAACAGAAAGAAAAGGAAGGTGGGCAGGAAGGGAAATCCAGCACAACACAACTGGAAAGAGACAGAGCCACAGAGGAAAAGCAGAAACCACAAAATACTCACCAGCAGCACAAACACCCCACATGTGACTCCCCTGAGCTTTCCCACCAGACAAACCACTATACCAAAACCCCGGCCGCCATAACCGGCACCAACCAAAACACAACCACAAAGCCCGGCCAAGGACTTCCCCACCCACAGCCACCCCTGAAAAGCCTCTTCCCCAGGAGCAACACAGACCCCAGTCCAAACTGGAAACCAGAACCGGCAAGCGGCCGCAAGAGGAAAGCGAGGAAGGGGAAGCTGCGGTGGCACCACATAAAGCTGCCACCCGGCACAACCTCCAGCACAGCGCCCACCCGCACCACCGCCGAGTCGACACGCAGCACGCTCCTGCCCAGCGCCCCGCAGGCAGCACCCACAGCCCCACCATGCCTGCGCCCGCAACCCCACAGCCCCGCCTGGGGCGCGGCGCCCCGGCGCTCCTGCTCCTCCTGACGGCTCTCGCCACCGGCCTCGCCTGCCACCACCGGCCTGCCAGCGATGACACCTTCCCCTGGCGCAGCCTCCAGCTCCTCCAGGCCATGGCTCCCAGCCCCACACCGCCCTGCCACCACCAGCAGGCGCCCCTCTTCCCCTCAGAGCACCCTCCTGCACATCAGCCACCCGCAGCAAGCCGCCGCCACCGCCCTCCGCATCCTCCAGCACCTCTTCCACACCCTCAGCAGCCCCAGCACCCCCCAGCACTACAACGAGCCACGGCACCAGCTCCTCAACAGCCTCCAGCACCGCATCCAGCACCTCCAGCGCTGCCGGACAACGCCACGCTCTTCCCGGGACAAGGGCCCCGCAACACGCTGCTCACCATCAACAAATACTTCCGACACATCCAGGACTTCCTGCGCACCCACAACCACAGCGCCTGCGCCTGGGACCATGTCCGCCTCGAAGCTCGCCTCTGCTTCCAGCACCTGCACAACCTCACCCGCACCGGCCGCAATTAGCCCAGCCACCCCACGCTCCCGCACCGCCCCGACACCGGCACCACTGGGGCAGCGCCCGCGCACACCCACCTCGGGCCTGCAGCACCCTCTGCAACAGCTGCGGCTGGAGCCGCCCCGACCTCGCGCGTCTCCAGCGCCCGCTGCTCCCCGACACAACTGCTCTATTTATTGGCACATGCTGCCACCTATTTATTCACCTATTTATTCACACCAAATAAAGACCTCTTGACCAAATGCCGCCACTC